GCTGATTGAGCCTTAACAGATCGGTCGAGTGTTTTGATCAGAAAAAAAAATTTAAGATGCGGAATGTCGAAAACCTAATTCAAGAAAGAAATTCGAAAACTAGGGTTCGAGAAGTTCTATCGAGAACCAGTTTTCGATAGTGAATATCGAGAAACTGTTTATCGAGAAGCAGGAGTCGAGAAGCTGTATCGAGAACTTCAGTATCGAGAAGCTAAGTTCGAGAACTTAGTTTCGAGAACTGAGTGTCGAGAAGCTGTATCGAGAACCTGCAATTCGAAAAAACAGAGTTTTAGATATTTAGTATCGAAAACTGAGTGTCGAGAAAGCAATCTCGAGAACTCAGTTCGAGAACTTGTATCGAGAACGTAGTATCGAAATCCTGCAAATCAAAATTTCAGATTAAAACAGTTTAAACAACTTTTCTGTGAAGTTTTCGATCTCGAGAGTCTTCCTGTATAGTTATCGTCCTGAAAAACCTGCTTAAATGTCGAGAACCCTGCTTTTCGAACTCATACTATCGAGAAATCAAAAATACCGAATCTACTGAAATCGAAAAGTAAGATATACCCTTGGTTCGTTTCTGAATGGCGAATCCAATGATATAACTTTTACAGTTTATCGATCAGAAACAGGATTACAGTGATTACAAAGAAATATATCGAAAAGTATGAAAACAGAGAAACTTCGAAAACTTTTCTTCGACGATCACACTCGAGCAGGCTCTGATACCAGTTGTTGGTCCCAGTTTTGCAGACTAACGATCAGCTAGATGAACATCATCGATAGACAGAAGAGAAGCATTTCATATAATGATATAAGATTTATCGAGAACAGTGAAACCTTCTTTCTGTAGTATCGAGAAGTAAATTTGGCAGCGTAAGGCTAATGTGTATTGATCGATATCGGTACCTGTACACAAGGCGCGTATTTATAGGCGCTGTACAGGTTACCGATTTAGGTAAACCTTGGAAGTTGGGCCAAGGCCTTTTTGGGCCTTATTCCCTTTACCTTATTTACTACATAATAAATACTAAATACTAATCTAATACCTTAAATGATATAACTAGTCTACTTTATTTAAACAAGACATTACAGACAAACTTGACCCACAATAAAAGTTCTAACATACCTTGTGAGTACCATAGAATCTACCTTAAACTTTTTTGTTTTTTTGTTTACAAAATGTGTTTGAATACATTCCTTACACCAGCTTTTGTTTAGTTAAGATTAAGACTATGTTTGGCAGACAAAAGTCCCTGCCTTCTAGCTTTTGTATTATTTAAAAAGTCTCTAAAAGCTCCTAGTTGTATGTTTGGTATGACAATTTTAAGAGCTTTTCCAAAAATAAAAAGCTCTTTTTTTAGATGCTATAGGGAGTAGCATTTGAAAAAAGTCTGTGACTTTTAGCATTAATTAGTCCCAACAGCTTCTATACCAAACAAAACTAAACCAAACAGTCAGCTTTTTACCAAACAGCTACGATCTTTTACTTTTAAGATCTTTTCAGTCACTAAAAGCTAACCGTTACTAAAAAGTCTGTAAAAGTATCTTTTCAGCTAGTTATGACAAACATACCCTAATAGTAACAAACTAACAATAATAACTACAGTGCATTCCATTCCCACTGCAGCGGGTATCTTTTCAAAGGAGTTCTTACGAAAACTCGAGCAGATTTTACTCTTATTATTAGTATTATTAGTACTCCGTATTATTTATTCATTTATTTATTTAATTACTTTTAAATACAAAAGGTTCCGAATCGTTTTAGCTTGTTTTATTTTGAATTTTTATCTTAGTCAAATATTTTCAACGTAACTTATTTTGGTTTTTTACAGGAATATTACTCTCTCTGTTTCATTAAGATTGTCTCATTTTACCTTTTCGGAAAATCCCACTAAGATTGTCTCATACCAACTTTGGTTAAGTTTGTGTGGTTCTAAATAATTTTATTTTATTCTTACTTTAACAATTTAATATCAACCACACAAACTCATTTTTCTTAATAATTGTGTCACCTTTTCTTGTCTCAAACTTAGTGGGACGGAGGTAGTACTAAAATAAAACTTATTTACATATGTATGACTATTCATTACTACAACGTAGTGTTGTGGTAACTTAAGTTCAAAACTTGAATATGAATTAAAGTAATTAACCTAAATAGGAGTAAAATAATACAAAAGTTCTAAAATAGGAGTCTTGTTGATTTTTTGCCTAAATAGGAGTTTTTAAATTGACCGCACGTTTCATTTTCCACATTTACCCTCCCCACAAATTATTCTTCCCCATTAGCTATCACGCATGATCCTTTATTTCCCAATCTGTAACCGACATAAACCCACCCTTTCTCATCTCCGTACAAAATTAAAACATCTTTGGGAAAACTGTCAAATAGGTACTCGAACTTTCATAAAAAGGTCAATTAAGTCCTTCTATAGGAGGTTCTGTCCGGCCGTCGCGATTTGGGGCAGTTCCCGGTGGAATTTTTTGATGAAATTTTTTGAGCATCTTATTCACCAAGTCTAGTTTACTCATACCAAATTTCAGCTAAAAATTCAATCGGGAACACATTCAAATTAATTCTTGAATGCAAAAATGCGCAGTTATCTTCATGAATTAATTTGAATGTGTTCCTGATTGAATTTTTAGCTGAAATTTGGTATGAGTAAACTAGACTTGGTGAATAATATGCCCAAAATATTTCATCAAAAAATTCTACCGGGAACTGCCCCAAATCGCAACGGCCGGACAGAACCTCCTATAGAAGGACTTAATTGACATTTTTATGAAAGTCCGAGGACCTATTTGACAGTTTTCCCCACATCTTTTCCTTATCTTCCTCTCACATGGAGTTTGGAGCTCCATTTTTCTCCCCAACTCCGGCAGACGGCGGTCGTGATAGGTAAGACTTTAATTTTCTTTTTGTTCTTCTTCCTTTTTCTTCTTCTCTTCTTTTTCCTCTTCTTCCCCTTTTCTTGTTCTTCCCATTTTCTTCTACCATTTTTGCTTTGGTCTGACCGCAAATTTCTTTGCTTGTTTATTTTTGTAGCATGAACTTGTGTTCTATCGTTTACAGATCCGAATTTTGAATTGAGTTTTGGTTTTCTTTCTTTTCGTTTTTAGATCCGAATCTATCGAGCTTTTTATTGTTTTCTTCTCTCATTTAATCTTCTTTCAATTCAATTTTTATTTCACCTTTAATTTGTTCCTTTAAGTTTTTGTTTGATCTTTCACATTGTTGGGATCCCTCCTTAATTGGAGAGGTTCTAGAAAATTCTAGAGCTTTCTAGATAAGTATAGAATTTTCTAGAACGTTCCGGAGAATCCTAGAGAAGTCTAGAACTCTCTAGAAGCTTGTGGAACAGTGTGGAATCCTCTAGAATATTCTAGAGATGTGTGGAAACTTCTGGAAGCCTATGGAAGAGTATGGAAGGATATGGAAGAGAGCGGAAGAGTATGGAGACTCCTAGAGTGTGTGGAGCATTCTAGAGAATCAATCTCTACCCTTAGATAGAAATCATCCCCACCATTCATTGTGAAGGTGGAGTAGTATAAATAAGGGTAGGGGGATTCATTCCTACCCATCCTAGCCAAGAGTGAATCCACTTCTAGAGTGAGAAAGTTAGAGAGCCTCTTTGAGAGAGAAGAGAGATAGCTTGGGAAGACATCATCCTCAAGCTTGAGTGAGCCACTACTGAGTGAGACAATTTTGTAACATCTTTGTAAATCCTACTATTCTTTTGTATAGTGGAAGAATCTCCATATTGGAGATTTTAAATCGTGTGCTCCCATTATCACCTTAATTCCCAAGTGCCTATCTTAACTTCACGAAGCGGGAAAGTCCGAAGTGTTTTTTCCCAACAGTGGTATCAGAGCCAGGTTCACCTGAGATCGTCATTAGCTCGTGCAGTTCAAGATGGAGGATAACGTCCCTCATGATGGAGACATGTTCAAGCTCACCGCCAACAACTACTCATATTGGAAGCCGATGATGGAAGATCATTTATACTGCAAGGATTTGCATGAGCCCATAATGTACAAAGAGAAGGTTGAGGGAAAGAGTGATGCCCAATGGGAGCTACTCAATCGCAAGGCCGTTGCTATGATCCGTAAGTACATAGACAAATCTCTCTTCGAGCATGTTTCTACTTACACAAATGCTTATGAATTATGGACTAAACTTGAGTCCATGATTCAAAAGAAGACACCTCGTAATAAGGCCAATTTAGTTCGACGGTTGGTGAAGTTGGAGTATAAGGATGGTCATAGTATGATTGAACACCTTAACAATTTTAAGGGGCTCGTAAATCAATTAACCAAAATTGAGATGAAGATTGATGACGAGTTGCAAGCCCTTCTACTCCTGAGTTCCTTGCCGGAAAGTTGGGACACACTTGTGGTTACACTTAGTAACTCAGCTCCGGAAGGAAAGCTAACCATGGATACCGTCAGTGATAGTCTTCTTGGAGAAGAAGCAAGGAGAATGGAACGAGGTGAGTCAATCCATCCCGAGGCCAATGTTATTGAGAACCGGGGTAGGAATGGGACTCGTGGACGTAGTAAGTGCCGAGATCCATATCAATCTCGAGGAAGATCCAAGTCACGCTCGAAGATCACATGCTACTACTGTGGAAGATTGGGCCATAGGAAAATGGAGTGTCGATCCCTCAAGAGAGACCAAAAGGCCGGTAACGTCAAACCAGACCAAGTCAGCCCAACCAAGAAGCAAGAAGAGAAGAGTACCACTGCGGTGGTCGCAAAAGAAGATCTGCTATATCTTGTTGGAGAAGGTAATATTCTCAACATTGCTTGTGATGACAGCTCTTGGATTGTCGATTCTGGTGCTTCCTTCCATGTCACTCCCCATGGAAGTTTCTTCTCATCCTACCAAAGCGGTGACTTTGGCACGGTTCAAATGGGAAACCAAGATAGAAGCAAGATCGTTGGGATAGGAGACATCATCCTAACAACTAGCACCAGATGTAAGCTTGTTCTCAAGGATGTGAGGCATGTCCCGGCCATGCGCCTCAATCTTATCTCTGCTGGAAAGTTAGATGATGCTGGTCTGATGAACTACTTTGGTGAAGGAAAATGGAAGCTCACCAAAGGAAGTCTGGTCATGGCTCGAGGAAAGAAGGAAGGCTCATTGTACGTGATGCAAGCCAAGCTCTGCAAAGGGGAAGTAAATATAACCACTGATGACATGGAGGTATGGCACAAACGACTTGGACACATCGGTGAGAAGGGACTCCACATACTCGCTCGCAAGCATATCCTCCCGGACATGAAAGGTAATTCACTCGATCCTTGTGCACATTGTTTAGCTGGAAAACAACATAGGGTTGCTTTCCAAAGATCTTCTCCGCCCACAAGGAGAAAAAACATCCTCGACCTTGTACACACCGATGTGTGCTCAATGTCCGAGAGATCCATTGGTGGTGCATTGTACTTCGTGACCTTCATTGATGATCATTCAAGGAAGGTGTGGTTGCACCTGTTAAAATCCAAGGATCAAGTGCTTGACGCCTTCAAGGAATTCCACGCTCAGGTAGAACGTGAGACCGGCCGGAAGATCAAGTGTGTACGGTCGGACAATGGAGGTGAGTATAGAGGTCCCTTTGAAGCCTATTGCAAGAAATATGGCATTAGGCTAGAGAAGACTCCACCCAAGACACCACAACTGAATGGGATAGCTGAGAGAATGAATAGAACTATTGAAGAAAGAGTTCGTTGTGTGCTCTCTCATGCTAAGTTACCCAAATCATTTTGGGGAGAAGCTATAATGACCGTAGTTGACATTGTCAACCTCACACCATCGGTTCCTTTGAACGGCGCCATCCCAGAGGAAGTCTGGACGGGCAAAAAGGCTTCATACAATCATCTTAAGGTGTTCGGGTGCCGAGCATTTGTTCACATTCCCAAGGATGAGCGAGCAAAGCTTGATGCAAAAACAAAGGAGTGTATCTACCTTCGCTCACCCAAGGATGAATTTGGCTATCGGCTATGGGATCCAATCAATAAGAAGGTTGTTCGTAGCAGAGATGTCATCTTCTTCGAAGATCAAACGATTGAAGATATTAAGAACTCGGAGAAGCCAAGATTGAGAAGAAGCAAGAACACTGAACTTACTCCATTTCAACGTGAGGATGACACACATCAAGATAATGATGATGAAAACCATGAGCAAAGCAACCAAGAGACTCATGATGAATCAAATCAGGAAGATCCTCAATCTAGTTCTCTGCCAGCACCAGAGCCGAGGCGATCCTCTAGGGAGAGAAGACCATCCATCTGGTATAACACCGAAGATTATATTACACTCACGGATGAGGGGGAGCCGCAAAGTTACAAAGAAGCAATCAATGATATTCATAAAGAAGAGTGGAGAAAAGCCATGCAAGAAGAGATGCAATCCTTGCATGAGAATCACACTTATGAACTTGTGGAGCTACCAAAAGGGAGAAGAGCCTTGAAGAATAAATGGGTGTATCGAATCAAGACTGAAGATAGTACCTCAAAGCCTCGCTACAAAGCTCGGTTGGTGGTCAAAGGATTCGGTCAAGAAAAAGGCATCGACTTTGAGGAAATATTCTCTCCCGTGGTAAAGATGTCATCCATCCGAGTTGTCCTTGGCCTAGCAGCAGTTCAAGATTTGGAGATTGAACAACTCGATGTCAAGACGGCATTCCTTCATGGCGACCTAGAGGAAGAGATCTACATGGAGCAGCCCGAGGGTTTCAAAGTTCCGGGTAAGGAAAATCTAGTATGTCGCCTCATGAAGAGTTTATATGGCCTCAAGCAAGCACCGAGGCAATGGTACAAGAAGTTTGAATCCTTCATGGCAGAGCATGACTTTACAAAGACGAAAAGTGATCATTGTGTCTTCATAAAGAGGTATGAACGTGGCGACTTCCTCATACTTTTACTCTATGTTGATGATATGTTGATCATTGGACAAGATCGCATAAAGATAGATGCCTTGAAAAAGGATTTAAGCAAGAGTTTCGCCATGAAAGATTTGGGACCGGCTAAACAAATCCTTGGGATGAGAATAACTCGTGATAGATCGAAGAGACTGTTGTGGATATCCCAAGAGAGGTACATTGAGAAAGTGTTGGAACGATTCAACATGAACAAATCAAAGCCGGTAAACACACCACTTGCTGGACACTTCAGGTTGAGTTCGAAGAAAAGTCCAACAAATGAGAAAGAAATGGAGGAAATGAAGAAGATTCCATACTCATCGGTAGTAGGCAGTCTCATGTATGCAATGATATGCACAAGACCAGATATCGCCTATGCAGTTGGAGTCGTCAGTCGCTTTTTGGCCAACCCTGGGAATGAACATTGGGTAGCGGTCAAATGGATCCTCCGATATTTACGAGGAACTTCCAAAAGATGCTTATGCTTTGGAAAAGGAAAACCTGTGTTAGAAGGATACACAGATGCAGACTTGGCCGGTGATATTGATTCGAGGAAATCAACATCGGGCTACCTAACTACTTTTGCAGGGGGAGCTGTTTCCTGGCAATCAAAGCTGCAAAAGTGTGTTGCATTATCCACCACAGAGGCAGAGTACATCGCAGCTACTGAAGCTTGCAAGGAGATGTTGTGGATGAAGAATATTCTGCTCGAGCTGGGAATAGATCAAGAAAGGTACGTGCTGAAGTGTGATAATCAAAGCGCAATTTACTTGGCGAAAAACTCAACATTTCATTCCCGCACAAAGCACATTGACACAAGGTATCACTGGATCCGAGAAGTCCTCGAGGAAAAGAAATTGCATCTTGACAAGGTTCACACCGACGAGAACTGGTCAGACATGATGACCAAGGTAATACCGACAAAGAAGTTCGAAGATTGCTGTCAAGGTGCAGGTTTGCTACTACCCCCCAATTAAGTCGTGAGGGGGAGATTTGTTGGGATCCCTCCTTAATTGGATAGGTTCTAGAAAATTGTAGAGCTTTCTAGATAAGTATAGAATTTTCTAGAACGTTCCGGAGAATCCTAGAGAAGTCTAGAACTCTCTAGAAGCTTGTGGAACAGTGTGGAATCCTCTAGAATATTCTAGAGATGTGTGGAAACTTCCGGAAGCCTATGGAAGAGTATGGAAGGATATGGAAGAGAGCGGAAGAGTATGGAGACTCCTAGAGTGTGTGGAGCATTCTAGAGAATCAATCTCCACCCTTAGATAGAAATCATCCCCACCATTCATTGTGAAGGTGGAGTAGTATAAATAAGGGTAGGGGGATTCATTCCTACCCATCCTAGCCAAGAGTGAATCCACTTCTAGAGTGAGAAAGTTAGAGAGCCTCTTTGAGAGAGAAGAGAGATAGCTTGGGAAGACATCATCCTCAAGCTTGAGTGAGCCACTACTGAGTGAGACAATTTTGTAACATCTTTGTAAATCCTACTATTCTTTTGTATAGTGGAAGAATCTCCATATTGGAGAATTTAAATCGTGTGCTCCCATTATCACCTTAATTCCCAAGTGCCTATCTTAACTTCACGAAGCGGGAAAGTCCGGAGTGTTTTTCCCAACACACATTAAGTTAATACTCCGTACTTTTTTACTTTCATGTCATTAAGTTTTTAATTCTTCAAATTATTTGTATGATTTGAATTCCAAATTTTTGAAATCACTTTTAAGTTATGACATTAAAATTAAAATAATACTCCTTTGCAAATAATGTCATCTTTGATTACGTGAAATATCATTTTGACATTTAGTGTCATTGTTATGGCAGTAAGTCCCTTTTGATGGAAAAAACAATACCAATATTGCCATGTTTTTTCATACGTAAAAATGATATTTTTGCACATAGTGCCATTTGTATGTCATTAATTGTTTAGAGATGGCAATATTACATCCTTGCAAATCCAATATTTATAACCAATATTGCCATGTTTTTTCACAAGTAAAAATGTTGTTTTTGCATATAATGCCATTTGTATGTCATTAATTGTTTAGAGATGACAATATTACATCCTTGCTGATCCAATATTTATAATGTCATGGAAATGTCAAAATGACACTAAAATTCATATCCTTTATTTTTATATGATGTTCAAATGGTCAGATGATATTTTAAATAACTTTTCCAGATCTGAGAACTTTGATGGTGGAGTCAAATGTTGTGGTGCAGCAAGAGTTGTGGCGATAGTGATGGAGATTGCGATGGCGGCGACAGGTGGCAGCGGCGGTGACAGGTGGTGGCGGTCGGAGGCGGTAGGTGGCGGCGTCCGGAGGCGGCAGTGACTGGTGCAGGTCATGTCCACTAAGTGGTGCCGACGAAAAATTGTGGCTGGACTGGGTTTGATGGATAATATATACGTTGTTGCTGTGTAATGTAATGCGTTAGTTTATTGTTCTATTTAAAAAAAATTAAACTGAAGCCTTCATTAAGGGTACATTTGTCCACTCATTCCTTTATACTCCTATAAAACTACACGGATGATTTAAGTCCTAGTTTTGCACTTTACTTATGTTTTACTCCTAGATGGAAAATTAACTCTATGAATCACTATGATTTCATTGATACTTTAGTAACTAGTCATATTTTTGTAAACTATCTTTATTTTGTGACTAATTATCCATTAACGTACCTATATTGATGTTAATTTTAGAGAAGTACCTTGTATATATATTTTGAATTGTATGAATTATGAAATACACACTATGCAAATGGGGAAAGAATTCTAAACACTATACATAACAATTTTAATTACTTCGATAAATTTAACATTTAACTCTTTTAAATTCAAATATTAAAATATAATTTGAATACAAGAAAATAAGATTCTAGTAGAATAGTTAATATTGTGGGCATTACATAATATTGAATGATTTGTTTGCATTTAGTTGAAAGAAGTAAAGGGGACGAAAGAAGTAAAGGAAAGTCGATGGCTTCCAAAACGACCATTTTTACATCATAATGTATGATTCTAATATCATTAGGCCATTGTGATGCGAATCTCGTTAGACAACTCCATTTTTTGTTGAAAATGAAGTTTATCATTCAATTTTTTAGTTTATTAGTATTAACTATTAGTTTCAATCGTTAGATCTTAAGTTTTTTTTAATCGTAAAACAGGCGGCTTTATTAAAATCGAGAACGCATACAAGACAATCTTCAGATAGATTTTACAAATCTAATCGTGAACCCTAGGAGTAGACATTGAATCAGTCACCTCATACAAACCAACCTGACTCGCTAAACTTGAAACGGACAAATTTAAGCCTAAAACGAACGGATCTCAAACCATGCATATCAAAAGAACTCCAAAAACCCAAACATTCAAACCAAATCTACTCGTACTAAAACAAAAACAAGTACTACTAAAGAGAAAAAAATATTGAAATAAAATCTTTCCACCAAACTCTTCTTGGTATGGAGGTGGTTCCGGAGGAGGATGTAAGGTGCTAGAGACTGTATAACCAAGCCCTATCCATCGATCCAACTCGACGAGGAGTTGGACGGGGGGTTGGGGGCGGTAGCCCCCCTCGGGGGTTGGTCTGTTTTTGACGAACAAGTTTTCCGTACAATTTCGTACAGTTGGGCCGTACGGATTAATTTTACTTTTCCCCCTTGGGCGCGTCCTAGTTGGTTTTGGGTTAGGTTTTACTCTATAAATATAAGCTCCCCTCTTGTAATCATTGGTGAGATCCGAAAATAGCAATAATATTCCTGGCTTGGTAGCGCCCCCAGACGTAGTCATTTGTGGCGAACTGGGTTATCAAATTTCGTTATTGTTCTTCGTGTGCGTGAGTTTAATTCCTAACAGAGGACGAGCTCTTGTAATATGGGTGAATACCAACTCCATCACCGCCGGAGTGGCCGACCAAGGATTCACGATCCAGCGCCGATACAAACAGTCAGCTGCAATCTGTTTATCCGCCAACGTTATCTCCTTTGACGTAGTTGCAATCCAAAACGTTAGAACACTTGCAATCAGAATAATCTGCCGCTCCAGCCCCATATTGATAAGGATTAAGGACGACGGAAAATCTCAACCCCTACAAAGAGGGGAGACCGCCACTAGAGTTTTAGAGAGAAGCAAGAGCTCTCTAGGCTTTTTTTTTTTACTTCGTTAGATCTTAAGTTAATATCAATTTCTCATAAAAATCATATTTAAGAACGGATCTTTTTGTGACAAAGCGAATGGAACTAATAGTTGATACTAATAAATACGTAGTAAAAAAATGGATCAGAAATATCATCCCTACTTTTTTTTTCAAGTTTATCTTATATATGTAAAAGTTTGGGGAATTTTGAGTTTACACCCTACGTTTTGGATGATATTGGTCTTTGCACCACATTTTCGAAACTTTTAGACTCTGCACTCTATCTACAACATTTTGTGAAGAAAAAAAATCTTGAATGAGATGCAAAGGCAAAGACATTTTAGGAGAAATAGGGTGCAAAGTCTAAGAGTTTTGAAAATATGGTGCAAAGTCCAATATCACCCAAAAGGTGGGATGGAAAGTCAAAATATCCCTAAAAGTTTTTGTCGGAATATATTGATTAATGTTTATGCACAGAGAACTCCATTTCACATCCAAGTTGAGGAACTTTGTAAAAAATCACAAAAGACGTTGATTGAAATTCTCCTTTTCAATTTTAATACGGAGTATACCACTTCGAATTAAGAAAGTTTATTTTGAAAATAAGTGTTGTTCTTACAAAAAATGTTTTCCCCTTGAGCAAGCATTAAAATGGTCTTACCGTGAGTAGAGCCGTCAAAATGGGCCGAAACCCGCGGGCTGGCCCGTTTAAACCCATTTATTGGTGGGTTAGGGTTTAGAATTTCTGACCCATTTAGCTCGCGGGTTTCGTGGGTCAACCCACATGGGTTGCGGGTTCAAGTGGGTTGGCCCACCGGGTTGCGGGTTGGCCCGCGGGCTAAAACACAAAAATATTGTTTTGAATTTTATTATCTTAAATATTGTTCTTTTACTACCAATATTATTATAATTACAATTAAAAAAACATGGCAAAAAATATTTATTTCTATAATAAATATTCAAATAAAATGTTCAAATAATTACAATATTTAATAATTAGTAGTCATTATTTACAAATAATCAATCTAGGTTTATGTAGATCTTTATTTTTATACAGTGAGTATTTTTGTCGTATACCCTTTTATAGTTTTCAAATTCCCGTAAAATTAGTATTTAATATTTTTTAATTAAACTTAACAAGTATCGAATTTTTAGTATTTTGATTTCTTGTATTTCCTTTGTTACTACTTACTAATATAAATAAGTACTTTCGGGTAATTATTTCTAAAGAATTTTTTGTTATATATTTTTTTGCGTTGGCCCGTGGGTCAACCCGTTTAACCCACGGGTTAGGTGGGTTGGGTTAGGGTTGTAGAAATTCTGGCCCGACATTAAACGGGTTGACCCGACCCAACCCACATAAAGCATAACCCGTTACGGGCCGGGTCGGGTTTACCCGTTTGACAGCTCTAACCGTGGGATCGGCCCACCAAGCGCACCGTGTGCTGATCCCAAGCAGCGTCACCTTACTGATTAAAAACAAGAGCATCGATCGATCGCAGCTACTAGAGTACCGATGGGCGGCAATACACGCAAGCTTTCTTGTTCTTTCTTGTCCTCCTCCTCCACTTCCTCCTTTCTTCTTTCTCTATTAATGAATGAATGAAAGCTCTTATTTGGCTAGTTCGATCTAATTGAACCCAATCCACTAATCCAAGGTGGAATTGTAAGGTGTTAGAGATTGTATAACCAAGCCCTATCCGTCGACCGCCTAACTCGGGGGGGGGGGGGGGGGGCGAAATTTTTTTGGTCCGTTTTTGATGAGCCGCGAGTTTCCGTACAGTTTATGCCGTACAGATGTGGGCTTCGCGCGCGTCTCCTATTAAGCCTAGGAGTTAGGTTTTACTCTCTATAAATACAAGCTTTCTCCCTTGTAATCCCTTGATCCGAAAAATTAATAACATTCCTGGTTTGGTAGCGCCCGCAGACGTAGTTATTCGTGGCGAACTGGGTTGCCAAATTTCATGTGTTCTTTATTATTGTTTTTCGTGTTGCGTTGATAAATCCTAATAGGAATCTCCCGCCCCAGGAGCCCCCACACCCCGACCCGATAGGATGGTGAAGGAGTAAGTCACGGTGACTCAGTCAACAAAGTAGGCTATACACCCGTGCGCACCAGAGGTCCAGCCTTATTTTAGGTTCTGTAACCTCCACCCGGTCGCTGCGGGGATTCGAACCTTTGTCCAATGATCCAAATTTCCCACTACTCGACCAACAGAGCTACCCGTGCGGGTTTTGAACCCAATCCACATACACACTAAATGATAAACAAATGTTTTCTCTTCATTTTATTTCTCCAACCGTACAACCCAAGTTTGTTGTTTATGAAATTTTGAAATTTCAACCTCTCAAGGAAGGAAGGAGATGAATGAATCTGTTGTTCCAGTAAGATTTATGCATAACCTTTTTAAAATCGAAAACAAATTCTTTTGATTTGATTTAGCATCTATAGGGCTGCATATTATTCAAATTCAAATTAATCTGAATTTTTCTGTTCTCCCGGATGTTGATTTCACAAGTTACATCTACTTGTTCCTAAATTACGTTTGAATAGGCTAAAATTACTTTTCACAAGTTACATCTGACTTGTTCCCAAATTATATTTGAATCAAGGCATTTACATTTAAATGAGTGTAATTTACATTATGATTAACCTGAAGTTACATGTTGATTCACACAATTTTGTTTCATATAACTGTGGGAGCAGGATGCTTACCCAACGCTCTCAGGGCCGGCCCTAAGCAAGGGCAGCCTGGGCTTGTGCCCCGGGCCCAACATTCATAGGGGCCCATAATTTAATATATATATATATATATATATATATATATAATATTATTTATTTATTTATTTAGAAAGTAATTGGCACGTCGGCAGCTACGCTACTCAACATTTCAATTTTAACTTGCTCTTGCCTCTTGAAATTACATTTGACGTTTCGTTTCTCGTAAAAGTTAGTAAATGCTACTCCATACTCCGTATTAATGATTCTCATTAAATAATTTGTTACTTTTGGGGCTGTGATTTACCACACACTCCTCACATATATATACCTATTCAGATACTCGGTTATTTGGTTTCCCTTGTTCCATTATTCTAGTAATTCCACTTTCAATATAATACTCAATATTTGGATTTTAGTTT